ATGTGCATGGGATTGTGTGGAGCAGGGGGCAAGAGAATAAATATCCAATATAATGGTCATTTACACCAAGTTTTAAGAAAACGTTTTAGGTCTCTTAAAATCTACTGAGTAGCTAAACATTATTATATTGTACCACACAAGGCTGCATCAGAGGTAGTATGACCCTTGATGAGGATGTTACAGAGGCCCTGAAGGAAATCCTTAGTAGAATCTGATTTTTTAAAATTAAGTATGTGCTTAAATACTTACTATAGGAGCAGCTCTGAATCATTCAGCACACAGTACATATTAGTGTAGTCTATGTAACCTTTCACTAGGTCACTTTTAACTTTCAAGTCTTAAGAACATAAGTGGTGCCTGTAGATGTGCTGGGAGGCTGCTTCAACACGCTGTAAGATTAATCGAGCCAGCCTCCATGTCTTGTGTATTAGGCCTGTGTGAGTAGGCAGCTATTCGATCTGGCTTCAGATCCAGCTGCTTCAGATGCCAGGGCTCCAATCTGGAGCCCCGGACTGGGTTTCCACTTCGATCCAACTGAAGCGGCTCTAAAGCTTTGGAGCTACCTTGGAGATCCAGCCATAGGGTATAATGGGGAAATCAATGAAATATCTATAACTTTTTTGTTTTTTGTCTGATTTGGATGCAATTTGCAGAGGTTGTAGCCTCTGCTGAGAGCATGAAGCCTGCCAAGTTTCAAGAAGATGGGTGCAGGGGTTTGGGGGGGAACTGCACCTCAAGCTGTGGGCAAGCAAAACTCATGACATAACACACGGTGTCACCTAAGGTGCAGCAGGATGAAAGCTGCAGGGATGGTAGCCCCTGCTGCGGCCCTGAAGCCTGCCAGCTGTCAAGGAGATAGGTGCAGGGGTTCTGGGTTCTGGGGCCCTGCACCTCTGGCTCCTGACAGACCAAACTCATGACATGGGTGCTTATGCAACTGACTGTCTCCGTCTTGAGGCAGTTGATTGTTTGTATTGATTATTTCCTCTCCTTAGTCTGTGGTTTTGTAGGTGTTAATTGATGCTAATTAACTGGTTACATTAGCTAGCAACTGTGTATTGAGCTGGTCCCTAAGTGAATCATGATTGATTGGTAACTGGTAACACGGTAGCTTAGCAGCCAGGCCTGCAGTAGTTCCCCCTCCCTGCCCCAAGACGGACACAGTTGCACAAGCACCCGTGTCACAAGTTTTGCCTGTCAGCAGCTAGGGGTGCAGGGCCCCAGAACCCCTGCACCTATCTCATTGACAGCTGGCAGGATTCGTGGCTGCAGCAGGGGTGGCCATCCCTGCAGCTTTCACCCTGCTGAGCCTTAACACATACAGTATCACCCATGTCACGTGTTTTGCTCGTCCCAGCTTGAGGTGCAGTTCCCCCCAAACCCCTGCATTTATCTCCTTGAAACATGGCAGACTTTGTGACCTGAGAAAGGGCCACCATCCCTACAGTTTTCAGCCCGCTGCGCCATAACACACACAGGGTCATGTATATCATGTCTTTTGCTTGTCAGCAGCTTGAGGTGCAGTTCCCTCCAAACCCCTGCACCAATCTTCTTGAAACTTAGCAGGCTTTGTGGCCTCACCAGTGGCTACCATCTCTGCCATTTTCACCCCCGTGTGTTTTAACGCATAGATATGACACAAGTTTTTCTTTCAAGAATTTGGGGTGCAGTTCCCCCTGAACCCCTGCACTGATCTTCTTGATATGTGGCCGGCTTCATGCTCTCAGCAGAGGCTACAACCCTGAAAATTCCGTCTAAGTCAGACAAAGATCAACAAAGTTATAGCTATTTCATTGTTTCCCCATTATACCCTATGGCCGGATCTCCTAGGTGCTTCGGAAGCTCTGAACCACTTCGGAAAGCCTAACAAAGCCAGTGCTTTGATCCAAACTTGTTGCTTTGGACACAAAAGTGTCCAAAGCTTCTCTGGATCCGAAGCACAGTCAGAAGCCTTGCACAGCCCTATTGTGTATCAGCATACCTGCACTTCAAAATTGGGGGGGGGGGGTGTCTTTAACTAAAGCTTATTCAATGAGCTTTAGTTGAAGTGCCCCTGCTACCATTTTAAAGCATGAGGACACTAATACATAAGATGCTGTGGCACTTTAATTAGAGCAGCTCTCGGAGCCACCCACAGAGCACATGTAAAAATGCCCAAGACAACTATACTGGGTCAGACCAATAGGTCCATCTAACCCAGTATCCTGTCTCTGGCAAGTAGAGGCTATAGAGTCAGAGCATTGAGCCAGATATCTCTAAAGTGATTTATCCCTTATTCAATACCTTCCCTGGCATCCACCATTATTGGTTTACAGATGCCAGAGAAAACAACTCTAATCATTATGTTCAATAGCCATTAATAGATCTATCATCCATTAATTTAAGCAGTCCCTTTTTGAACCTGGCTATGCTATTTGCCTCCATCACCTCCTGTGACAATGAATTCTACAAGTTAGCTACTCATAGAGTTAAAATGTACCTTTTTTTCTTGGTTTTAAGTCTGGCACCTACTAATTTTAGTGCGTGCCCCCTAGTTTCAGTACTCTGGGATTTGGTGAACAACAGTTCTTTATTCACTTGGTCTACCCGCTTCATGTTTTTATAGACCTCTATTGTATTCCCCCCCACCCCCAATCAGCCTTCACCTTTCCAAGCTGAAGAGTCTTAATCTTTTTAGTCTCTCTTGGTATGGCAACTGCTCCATGCCTCTGATCCTTTGACTGCCCTTCTCTGTACCTTTTCCAGTTCTACTACATCATTTTTGAGATGTGGGGACCAGCCCTGTATGCAGTATTCAAAAAGCAGATGCACCATGCACTTCAGGCAGTTGAAAGCTGCTATTAAATCCCTTCTCAGTCTTTTCTTCTGCAAATTAAATAAGCCCAGTTCCCTCAGCCTGTCCTCAGAAGTCATGTGCCCCAGCCCCCTCACCATTTTCATTGCCCTCCGCTGGCCTCTCTTCAATTTGTCCACATCCTTCCTGTAGTGGGGGTGGGGTGCCCAAAACTGGATGCAGTACTCCAGATGTGGCCTCACCAGTGCTGAATACAAGGGAAGATTCATTTCCCCTCAATCTGCTGGGAACTCTCCGAATATGCATCCCTGTATGCCATTACTCTTCTTGGCAACAAGGGCATGCCAAGACTTATATTCAGCTTATTGTCCACTGTAACCCTGGGTCCTTTTCTGCAGAGCTGCTGCTTAGCTAGTCAGTCCCCAGCCTGTAGCAGTACATGGGATTGTTCCATCCTAAATTCAGCACTTTTCAATTGTCCTTAGTAAACCTTGTGAGATTTCTTTCAGCCCAGTCCTCCAATCTGTCAAGGTCTTTCTGAAACCTAGTCCTACCCTCTAGCATATCTGATACTCCCCCCAGCTTGGTGTCATCTGTAAACTTCCGGAGGGTGCACTCCATCCCATCTTCCAGATCACTGATGAAAATATTGAATAAAACTGGCCCCAGAACCAACCCCTGGAGCACTCCACTTGATACTGACTGATAACTAGACATTGAGCCAGTAATTACTACTTTCTGAGCCTGATGATCTGACCAGTTTTCGATCCACCATTTCCTGGACATCAATGAAAATGTTGACCAAAATTTGGCCTAGCACATATCCCTGCAGAACTCCACCTTGTCTTGCCTCCATCCTGAGAAGTGACCATTTAGCGACCTAATCTTTGCTTCCTATCTTTTAACCAGGTCTCAGTCGACAAAAGAACCTTCTCTCCAATCCCAAGGCAACTATGCAAAATATAGGTTTTCCACAAGGAGTAGCATTACCTTGTCAAGTCAAATTATTTTAAGTGATTCTCATTCTCTAGCTGTCTTTAGTCTCTTCTTTCTGTGCATTGTTTTTTTCTTCTTTGACCCCAGCTCAAATCTAGAGAGCTTTCCTGAAGGCTCACCCAAGCATCAGCATGCCTGCAAATTATAATGCTCACCAAACTTTGTGGTTGACACAATTGATTTTATGACCCTATGTCTTATATACACTGTTTGAGGACATGTTCCTCCAGAGACCTCTGGAGTAACTTTGTAATAAAGTGCAGCATTTGTTTCCTATTGAACTACCTCTGTTGTAGGGATGCCTTCCTATTCTATCAACAAAGTGATTCCTATTGCAAATCTTTGCTGGACCAAGGTATTAGAACGCAATTAACCATGCCTTTATTGCACAGGTATTGTGCAAGTTACCTCTGCTTTAGCTTTAAAATAAGCACAGTCAAAGAGGAGGTTTTCAGTCTCTGTGCTGGATCCAGTGTATTGAAGCTGAGCAAAGGATAGCAATTCAGCTTTAGATGCTGCATAGTCCCTGCAATAAGAACAAAAACAACAGCAACCATATAAACACCAACACAAAATTATCTCCATAAAACATAATGAAGAGCACATTAATCTCAGCACCTTGCTTTATATTAAGCAGTATCCTAAGAGGAAACCTTATTCTCTCAGCTCCCACCGACTTGCATATAAATCTAATTGAGAGCTGGATAAAGCTGTTCCTTATCAATTGTTCTTAAATTTAATCTCCACAGACTTGATTAAGAAAATAGAAGTTAAATCCCAAAATAGAGACTTACAGATTTACCCGAACATTGTCCTGCTTTAAAGGACAGCAAGAATCAACAAACTAAGCAGTAGGTTTTGAATATGTCTCTGAACAGCATGAAAATTAGTATAGTACCATATTATAACTGACTGTCAGTCTTTGCCTGAAAACTACATCTCCATAGCCCATAATGATTCTCCTGAAAAGTAAGTGGGGACCAGATTCTATCTGACCTGTTTGGTGCTGAAGTGGCCTTATGCACCTAAGGGCAATTCTATTCCTCCCTGAAGTCCCTGAAAAACTGTTAAAACCAAAGTGGGCAGGTTATATTCCTCCTTACTGCATTTTGTGATTCAATCTTAAAGGCCAACTTCTTCCTGATATAAAAAAATAGAAGCACTAATGGATTTTCAAGGATTTGAACAGGGTGGAACAAAGTGGAATAAAATTTCCCCAAGTCTATTTGGACATTTAATAGGTGGCACAGACTCTGGCCCAGGATTTCTCCAAGTTATTGGTTCAGCTGATTGGTCAGCTCACCAGAACACAGACAGAGGTAGGCAGAAAGAGACATAAGATTTGGGACTCTGAGGACCAAAACATAAGCCAAATATTTGAAACTCGAATAACTAAAGTTAAGCTTCTATATCCATAGTTAGCAGGGCTGGTCAAATCTTTTCCAACAAAACTTTTTTTTAATGAGAAACTGTTTTTTCCAATTAAATGGATCTCTTTTTTTGCAAAAAGCATAATCTTTTTTCTTTTTTCTTTTTTTTTAAATTGAACTGGGGGTGAGGTGGGGTGGGGGAAAGGAGGCAGAAAAACAATAATCACCTCCCTCCAGATATTAAATTTTTGGAGCTTTTTTTTTTTTTGTATGAAATGCCCATTTTGTTTTCATTAACACAAATTAAATGAAAATTTATTTGTCATCTACTTTTCCAAAGGAAGCAAAAGCCCACTTGTCGACCAGTTCTAACACTTAGTTAACTAATTTCAGGGGTGCTTTTGCAGCATAGCTTTTCCTGAAGTCAATGGGAACCTCAATAGCAAAGCATTTTTGTCTATATTTGGATTTAGGTGTCATGCTTAGAAATAATAGTCCTAAGTGCAGTTCAAGTGAAAGTAGCCTCTTGGGGGAAATGAGAGAAGGGGAAAAGAGGGGACTGGAAGACCACAAGAGAGTTCAGAGTAAAATTTCCTTGTGATTAACATCTACTATGTATCTGGATTAAATAATAATTCAAACTCTAGCAGGAGATAATTCAGTAAAGCACAAAGGAAGTCCAAGAAAAATAACATTGAGAAAGTATACAGTCACAGCCAAGTCTCAGCATCTTATAAAATACTTTATTTAGTCACAAACCACAAGGACTTTTCCTCCCAAAATTGGGGTGCTTTTTTAAAGCAGGGAAGCTGATTTTTCTTTACTGAAATAGAAACATAGAGATGCTAAGCTATAATGGCTACTGAAAAGGCTTCCCCTTCTCACTGGCCGAGCAAGCAGCAGGGATCAGATTTAACTCCTTCACAGCTGTTGTTTAATTATCAGTAACTTTTGGCTGAGTGGTCATCATTCTGGAAAAAAAAATCTTTTTTTCTACATTCAATCTTCTGAAAGTAATAAGGTGCATGTGATACATGAGAAAATATGCCATACCCACAAGAGCCAGTCCTACCTACCTACCTATATATTGCTGTTGTGTTGGATTTTTGGCGTTTTCTAAAATACAAAACACAGTGTGCACCACAAAAGCTTTCACTGAATATTTAGAGGTCCACTGCTAGAAAGCCTTCAGTAAGAGAGTTTAGGATGTGCTCTTTGAAGACCCCAACTCAGTAAGGTGTTTGTGCATAGACCTATCATTAAAAGTAGGACCTAAGGGTGTAATAATTCTCATCTGTATTGATTAAAAATATAAAATGTCTTCATGGTTATTTAAAAACAACTAAGATTTTTTTTTAAAGTTTTCCTCTTGTGGCTACAAGTCTTAAAGAAAATCACATTTTGAGCTTCTCAGCCCCAGACAATGTTGAGTCTCTTGTTGCTTAGATTCCTTGGAGAGTTTTGATGTTTAGTTTTTCAAGTTTGCTTTTCTTCTGATTTAATACTGGTGCTTTTTTTCTATAACTAGCACAAAACCTCAGTAGTCTTTAGCAGGAAATCTCATAAGACTCAAAGTCAATATGGGCTGAAGGGGTAATCCTAGCAAACTCTTTTCTGTTGGAATCCCTAGGCCTAAAATGAACTTTTGAAACTGGCAAACACTTATATAAATAAAAAAAAAAAGAGAGAGAAATGGCCAAATTATCGTATGGATTATTTATTATATGGATACATGATTAATTACCCATGTATGTGTATACATATGTGAGCCCATATACATGCACACACTGATATTTGGAAAGATGGAAAAAGAAGGATCATAGGATGATGACCAGTATAAAGTTATTGTTAATATTAACATAGAATCAGAGAATAGTAGGGCTGGAAGGGATCTCAGGAGGTCCAGTTCAACTCCCTGCTCAAGGCAGGATCACCCTTGACTAAATCATCCCAGATAAATGTTTATTTAAGTAGTCAAGGGTCTGCCTATTTGTATTGTGTTAATAGCTAGATCACCTAAACAGGCCCTGAAGCCCAGAAACTTAACTTACCATATTTACTCAAATCCAAGATAAGTTGAATGGGAAAAACTCATGGGGGGAAGCCCCTTATCTTACATTCAAGTACAAGTGGAAAGGGGGAGGAAGGGTGCAACCACTGCTTCCCCACACACCTGTCTGCCCACAGGCTCTGCTTCCTATTGCCATCCCCTCTGCCACTACCACCACCACTTACCTTCTCATTAGAGCTCTGGTTCCAGCTGGCTAGGACAGGAAGCATGGAGTATGAATTGCTTCCAGCCCCACCATGGCCATGCAATATTGCAGGCAGTTCTGGGATCATCTCTGAGGTGGGCTCTGGGGCTTCTGCATGGCTGGTTTGCACCTGCAGGCAGCATGTGCTCTGTGCTCTCTGCCCTGGGCCAGAACAGAACTGCAACAGGAAAGTAGGCCATGGGACAAGTGGTGAAAAAGACAGTCAGGAGGTACGTGCACCTCCCTGCCTGTGGTGCCTAAGGACCAGAAGGGAGGGCGGGGGGCAGGTCATTTGGTTCTCCTTTAGCTTTCCTTTGATTGCTGGTTGCCCTGCTGCAGTGGTTGGGGGTGCAAACTTAAGATGACCTTCCAAAAATTAGATTCTGTAATCTAATTATTGCGGGGGGGTTGTCTTAAATTCAGAGTTGTCTTGGATTCAGGTAAATATAGTAATAAAAAAAAATGGTCACTGACACAAAGAACTCAGAAATATGTTGTTCCCAAACTTTACAGCACTTCACATCAATATGCAACTTGCAAACAAAACTATTAACACAGAAGCAAAAAAATATTTGCAAAATGTATTAGGGTTAAAGCTGAGCAAAATTCAGAATTTCACTCTGAGAACTTGTGACATTTTACCTTTTTTGCTCCAAAAACTTTTATATAAGTTTAAATTTATTTTTTTTTCATAGAAAAAACGAATTTTAGAACAGTTGCTGATTGGGATGAAACATTTTGATGGAACAGAAAGAAAATGTTTCATTTGAGCTTCCTGAACTGACCATAAATGCTTTATTTTGAGCAAGTATTAAAGTGCATTTTTCTATTCCAGTACCCTGCCTCATGAGAATTATAGTTCAAGAGCCTGATGTTATGCTCCATGCCCTCCATTCTAGGTCAGACTACATTTCCTTTAATGGATCCAGAATTGTTCAGCTCCCAGGTCATACCGCAGAGCTCACTCAGAAGGAAATACACTTTAGGAACTGCAATTTGGGAAACTATTAACTCTTCAGACATTCTTGCCAATAGTTGAAAATGTGATCCAACCTACATCTACTATTCAGCAACAGATAAATAAAGGGGGAAAAAAGTTTAAATTTCTCAACTGAACTAAATCAAATGCATTTTTTGTTTGAAGTGAAAACATTCAGTATCAATTAAACAAAACAGAGTATTCCAACTAGAGTAGAACTAACCTGAAGCAAAACAGTCATTTTGGAGTTTTCCTATAAAATACAATATTTTTCAAAAATGTTTTTTGTGGAAACTGCATTTTTACCCATGGAAAATTTCTGATAAGGTCTTGTCATTGTACATTCTAAGCTATATATACACACACACGTAGCCTTATTATATACCCTTCCAAATCAGCTTTCAGGTGAACACTAAATAATTTATATTGTTAAGCTAGAGGCATTAATGCTTGCCATTAATCATAGAGCTGCCTAAGGCTGATGGGTGTGTTTATGTGTTCATAATTCTTCTTCCAGACTAAATGAAAGGAGCAATTAAACCCCTTTAAAAAAAGAGAGAGAAAGCAGCAAATAGTGGTAGCTACTGCCCAAGACAGTCAGGAGGCTGAATAGGGCTAAACTATCTGGTCTGGTAAATGAAGGGGCTAGAGGATTGTTTGGGAAGCTATGAGCTATAATAGAGGCTTATGGCCAGGAAAAAGCCAGAAGAGAATTAAGTAGTTATGAGAATGGCTATGAGGAGTAGACATACAAAACTCCTTGGAGCACAGAACTGTTAGGAAAGAGACTTAAAAAACAAGAACAAGAAAACTGACTGCTGTTGTTTGTTTCTACAGTGCTCAGAGAAACAGTACAGGTCTTCATAAATAAACAGGTTTGATCTGAAGCAATGCCTGACTCATGTCATCAATTGTTCCTTCTAATGGAAACAACCTTGCAACTCCGAGTTACCTTATTGTTCTTTTGACTTAAGAAGTTAAGTGTAAAGCAAGCAACTAATTCTTGGATGTGTCTACACATGCATTTGATGCAGGAGCTGTTTATTCACAAGTAGACACCTGCCCAGGAGTGTTTACATGTGCAGAGAAGCAGGAGTAGATTTCCTGCTAATGGCAGCAAACTGCTCCCAGTTCCTGGGGCCCTGCAATGAATCTCTGCCACCACCAGGAGGAGCTCCAGGATCCCCCTGGGAGCTGCCCAGGGCCTGGCACCTGGCCAGGAGATGTGTCCTGGCTGGGGCTGGGACACTGCACACTACCCCCAGGGGGCTGCCTGTTGGTGGGACAGAGACAATGTCCCCCTAGTCCAGCAGCAGCAAGCTGTAGTCAGGGGCAGGGAACTTGGAAAGAGCTTCAGGGGAGGGGTCCCAGCCCCCTGCCCCGATCCACCAGTGAGACAGCTAGCAGCTAGCTTGCTGCTAGTTACCCCACCAGTGGATCAGGGCAGGGGGCTGGGACCTACCCCTCCCCTGAAGCTCTTTCCAAGCCCTGTGCCTTGATCACCCAATCTGGGCATGGGGCTGGAATCTGCCCTTACCAGGCTAGTTCCCAGGCCCTGCTCCATGATTGTGGGGCACAGCATGGAGACCCTGTTCCCCCACCCAGCTCCATGATCACAGAGCTGAGTGGAGAACAGGTTCCCCAGCCCTGACCAGCAGGGAGCTCCCAGTGCCAGCTCTGTGGTTGCAGAGTTGGTGCTGGGAGATCCTTATCTCTGGCAGCAGGGAGCTCTAGCCCCCTATTATCCAATCACAATGGTGAAGTGGGGGCTGAGAGGTAAGGATCTCCCAGCACCCACTCCCTGACCACAGTCTCGGAGTGAGGGGCTTGGAGCTCCCTGCTGCCAGGGAAGGGGGACATAGTCCCTACTTGGGTTCTGGCAGCAGAGCCTGCCCCAGCAGCAGACAGTTCCTGGGGACAGGGGGCAATCTCCCACCTCCTGGTGGCCAGCTGACCAGAAGCAGATTTGCTCCCAGTCAGGCATCTACATGAACACTACTGTGCAGTAAGTAATAGCAAGTAAATTTGCTACTTGCATTTGCAGGTAGCAAATGTACTTATGGTTAGCGAGGTTTACTGCACAGTAAGCATGTACATGTATAGACACACATGCTTACTGCATAGTAAAACTATGCTATGGCACAACAAAGTGTCTTGTGTAGACACACCCACTCAGAAGTTACTTATTTTGTCACAAGTATTTGCTTAGTAACAAAAATTTATTCTGGCAAAAGCCCAAGTAGTATCTAGAGGTTACCACAAGAAGCCCAAGCCCCAATTTAGTGTATAATTAAGTTTCATTATTTTAAATCTCACTGTGCACTTACACTTAATACATTTACATGTGTTGCTGAACTGTGGGCCTGCTCATGAAGGCTAAAACATCATCATGTGGATTAGATGACCAATATTGTAACAGAAATAAAGGGTTACTCACATAAATAGGCATAATCACAAGTTTGAATTTGTTTGCACAAGCAGTTCATAGACCGATTCTAAATAATGACCATACTTGTGAAACCAAGGTAATTCACAAGAAGCTAGATCAGAAGCTAAACTCCCTAAATACATTCCTTCTTCCAAATGTTTCTAAATTTTTTGATGGGTAGATAGGAGACCCATCAGATATGAAGAGTGAACTCTTTATCATGTGCAAATTAATCACGTCATTTTCCCTCACTCAGCTTATCTTGCTGCCTAAGCATCTTTTCAGGAGTGGTTACATCTAAATCAAATATTAAAGGATACCATATTGAATTTGATACCAAGGTTATTGTTAATTGCAGAGGGTTGTTTTCATTTGCTATAGTTTCTGGTGTAGGCAGACATTACCTGTACATTTTAATGAGATTGCGAATGACTTGGATGACCAGAACTGCTCTGCGGAATTTACGGAGACTCTATAATACAAAAGGAATCACGTGGTTACTAACAATGAATTAAGTAAATTCCTTCTAAATCTAATGAATTTTCTATATGCTTTTACCACTTATCTAAGAATATCTTGTTACCTTTTAAAGAATTAATATTCCTGAAGGAACAGGCAGAGGAGATCTCAGAGCCCTTTGCAATGATCTTCATGGAGTTGTGGAAGGGACAGGCCACATACCAGAGGCCTGGAAAAGAACTAATGTAGTGCCCCTCTTTAAAAAAGGGGCAAGAAGGAGGACCATTGGAGCTACAGACCAGTTAGCTTCACCTCAACACCAGGGAAGTTACTGAATATATACTAAGAAAGGCCATGTGCAAGCACCTGGAAGATTTCTGGCAGATCACCAAAGATCCTGGTTTTCTCTGATAAAAAAAAAAGTCCCCAATTTTTGGATTAAAATAAAACTAATCCAAAATCCACATTTTTCATGATCAAAATGAAACACTGCTAATCATACATATATGATAATATATATATCATCTATATATATGATTAGCAGTGTTTTGTTTTGATCATGAAAAAATATAGATTTTGGGTTAGTTTTTTTAAACTGGAAATTAGGGATTTTTTTTTTAATCAGAAAAAACAAGGATCCCTGACAATCACAAATTGTCAGCAAGGATTTATGAAAAGCAAATAGTGTCAAACAAACCTGATCTCCTTCTTTGACAAAGTAACAACTAAGGCTGGGGGACTTCAATTGGGGTGAGCTGATTCTCCTCCTAGAAGCAAAGCCAGGGGCTCCTGGTAGGGTTGTATTAAACTTTGATCCCTGATTTGATTTGGCGGAGATTCGGCCCAATTTGGTGGCTGAATCCCTGAACCTGAATCAAACCAGGAGACCCTTTAATCTCTCCAAATGGAATCGGAACCCTCTGAATCAATTCGGAGAGATTCAGAAAGATTCAACGATTCGGACATAGACACAGCTTTAAATGTTTTTTCTACATATCTCAAGGTACCAGGCAGCTCATGAATGCTGCAATGGTGGGGCGGTTGGAGCATCCCACATGAGCGTGGGGGGGTCCCCAGCATGCTCAGCAGCAGACCCAGAAGTGGACCACAAGCACTTCCAGTCCACCTCCGGGTTCACCAGGGAGCACACAGGGGGACTCCCCCCTGGCTCAGCAACCAGAACCTCCTGGGTCTGGAGGGGCACCTGAGGTCCCCCTGTGGCTGATTGCTGAGCTGGGGGGGGTGACAGGGGTGTGATGGCCAGAACCAAATGAATTAATAAGCAATAAATACGTGCTTCTTGGAGGCATTTGGAACTTTTGTCTAATATGAAGCTTGTATTTTTGAAACCCGCAAATGTAACTTGTAACTGTTTGTGGAACTGACTAGGCCTCAAAGACAAAGCTATAGCTGTGAAATTAGCAGACCTAATAGTTCTTTCTCACTCAAAATTTAGCCTTGATGATGATAAAAACTGGATTCAACTGCCTAGCTTATCCAGTATATTTCAAGAACCTCTCAAAAAAGCATAGTCAGACAGTTCTGAAGAGGATGGATTTAAGCGGGGTAATATTAATTTCAAACCTGAAGATGTTGTGTTGCAATTTGCTTATTGGATAAACCCAAGCTTGGGCAGTAACTTATTATAAAGATTTCTAACACCTTTTAACCCCATAGGATAACAGCTATAAAGTAACATTATGAATGGCTATATAACTAAAAAATCAGCATAAATAGAATATAAAAGAACACACATGTCATAGTAACCCTCAGGAAGGACGGAACAGAAGGATCATTGCTGTCCCACACCCCCACGGATCTCTCTTACTCCCCATGAGAGCGAGGACCAGATCCTGACTGAGGGACTTCCACTGGTTCTCCTTCAGGCAGCCCAGTTCAGAGACGTCTGACTTCGCTGATTCAACCTGATGTGCATCTTCTAACCGAGGGACTATTGATAAGTTACTAACCAAGTGGGAACTCTTGGTTAATTTCTTTATCTGTTTTATTATCACTGTCAATTTTAATCTGTATTGTTATGTTGTCTGTTTATTAGCTTAACCTTTTTATTAACTATTATATATGCAAACTATATCTTTTGTTGTCATAAGTAAAATTCATTCCTTTTTGTAAGTGAAACTTGTCATTTCTTTCCTTTCCAACATCACCTCCTCGATCCTGAACCAAAAAGCCCAGTGGCTAATAAAGTTGCAGTGCTCAGTCAGTCTGCAACTAAATTGATATACTCACAGTGCCCAGCTGGCCTGTGACACATGGGGGTGGGGGGGGGCAGCATGCTTGGCAGTGGATGCAGAAGGGGACTGGAAGTACTTTTGGGTCCAGCGCCAGGCACACAGGGGGCCTCCTTGTGCTCCTGTGGGATGTTCCATCCACCCCAGCATTGCAGCATTCATGAGCCATACCTGGTACCTTAAGGTATGTAGAAAAAACATTTAAAGCTGTGTCTATGGTCAAATTGCTGATTCTCCGAATCAGCATCGAATCTTCAGATTCGGATTTGGCTGAATCAAATCAGGGACACG